TTAAAATATGGGGTAAAAAATTTATAAGCCTATGAAGGATCACCAAGTACATCGCTGATCTCCTCTGAGATTGCGTTATCACCACTGAAAAGGAATTTCACATACCGGGTGAATAATTTAAAACCGAACATATAGGCAATTAACATGGGAAAAACGTTTTTGCAGATCGTTGCTCCCCATGTTAACTTAGGGGTTTGTAACGACACCAATCAAAAGAAGATTTTTTTCTCATCTAATGGTATACGAATTAGATTATTTTCAGGTGTATATCTCACTATTTTATTAAAAATTCGGCAATAAATTCAATTAGCAAAAGAAATTTCCTGAAAAATTGAAATAGGTCTTCACACAGACGGAATGGGACGCCCAAAAAAAAACAAATTTCGCGTACTTGAGTAACTATTTCCGCTGTAAACGTTGCTTATTATAAATACTTTTTCCTCAGTGAACCACATTTAAAAAAAAAATTAATGCCAATTGTCATAAACTGATATTGATTTCGACGTTTGAATCTGCGCTTTTTGCCTTACTAGTCATGGCTTAACATGATTTTGGTAAGTGGATTTATTGCCGAATGTTTGATAAAATAGTGAGAAATACAACTGAAAATGTACAGGGTTTAAATCGAAAAGTGGAACATAGGCGTTTAACATGGGAAATGCTTTTTCTTTGCGCAAACGTTTCCTAATTATTTCACGCAAAAATACTTCAAATAAAGGTTATAGAGATATAAATTCGGCATTTAAATCATGTGAAACGATTATTCTACCTCTTCTTGTACGCGAAAAAATTAATTATAAAGATTCTGTAATCACGAGTTTTTAATCTAAGTAGCCATGGACAGTGGACTATGTTTTTTTTATCATAGTGGATGGCTACTTAGACTAAAAACTCGTAAAAACAGAATCTTTATAATTAATTTTTTCGCGTACAAGAAGAGGTATAATAATCGTTTCACATGATTTAGATGCTGAATTTATATCTCTATAACTTTTATTTGAAGAATTTTTGATTAAAATAATTAGGAAACCTTTGCGCAAAGAAAAAGTAATTTCCCAAGTTAAACGCCTATGTTCCACTTTTCGATTTACACCCTGTATATATTTTATCCATCAGAAAATAAGTAAGGTTTAGGAGCCTTAATTGTTTTGTTGACATGATCCTTTAGCAACCGTTGCGTTGCTTAGTAACTAAACCGCATGAACTATTTGATACTAAGTAACTAAACCGCATGAACTATTTGATACTAAAAATTCCGTTTTAAAATAATGTGGCGACTTTCATCCGGAATTAATTTTTCCTTGCATACCCACCACCTTAACTCACTAATTGCCCTCGATCGTGCAAAAAAAATTGTAAGGAAGTCGGGTGGTAAGGTCTTCTAGTAAAATTCACTTACCACCGAGCTTACCACCCTTTTGTAGCTTTATACAGAGTGTAGAAACCAAAACAGTTTACGCACCTTACGGATTTCAATGGTAATTTCTTTATAAGTATTGAAATATTTTCTCCCCTAATTATTTTACAGCAAAGTTGTAAATACATTTTTTGTAGATTGTAAAATTCTGTGACTATTCATGTGCCCATTTGTAATTTTTTGTTGTGGGAAGTCGAAGAAATTGAGGAAATTATAACTTAGAATTATAGGTATAAATCTAATTTTTGTTTCCTTTCGTAATTATTGAAACGAACATTCGATTTTTCGCAAATACTAAATCCTAATTTATTTATTTTTCCGATTTCCCGAATTGAAAAGTAATAAATGAGGGCATGAGCAGACGCAGAATTTTTCAAGCTACAAGAAACCCATTTACAACTTTGGTTTAAATTAATTAGGAGAAAAAATATTTCCATATAGTGAAATTGGCATTAAAATCCCTATGGCGAGTAAACCGTTTCTACACCCTGTATACTATTACTTATTACAAAAATGCGCTATCAACAGAAAGTAATTTAACACAAGGTAGCTGTGTGTATGAAATCTTTCTTATTAAAGAATGTTCGATCTAAGTAAGTCTCAATTTCAGATATAACGTAAAAATTGGTACCTCAATAAGATTCAAAACCGACTATTTACATGTACACCAAATCTTTCAAAAGCTATTTCCATTATATTGTCTTGAAAACATTCCCTCCTAACAATTTTTTATGAATTTCGATCAAGAACGGCAGATTTAGTCCAGAACGTTATCTTCGGTACCAAATTCGAAAACGAATTGGTGCTGCGCAGGTCCGCGGTCACCTGTTTACAAATTTGGGAAGTATACGCAATCAGTTTGGATTAATAAGAAGACGTTTTCATTTCAAATTCCATCAATCATTTCAGTCGCGTACGCGTTTTAGTGTAATGCCGAAATTATTATGTCGTTTTGAAAAGACTAAATTGTGTTTTATGTGAGTGCAAAATGGGAATTGACTATTCAAGTAGTAACAGCAAAGGTAGGAAACCCAAAATGTTTTTGATTTCTTTACGGTCACACTTGAAAATGCGCCATTGATATATTTTCTCTAGTTTTGGACTAATTTGGGCTGTTCCCAATGGATTGTCCAAAAACATATAATTTGCTTGGAAGTTGCCCTATTTCTTGTGATATTTATTAGAGATTGGGAATAGAACATTTAGATTTCAACGTTCAAAATTCTGTAATGGCAGAGATTACGCTGTGGGTATACAAAATGGTGCAGGTTCAGAACTAATTCCAGATGTTCGATTTGCAAAAAGATAACATATGTATCGACTAATTTTTGTTTGCTGTCGTTGCTATTGTGTTAATTAGTGAAATTATCTGATGCAACACCTGCGGAATAAATGACTCATGCCGCTCGTACATGTAGGCTTAATTTATCAGGTGACATTATGATATTGATAACCAACAGATGTTTGAACGTTGAAGGTAGTAATACAAATTCCCAATTCGACTCTTCTTTTTAGGGTATTTTCGTAAATAGGAACTGTAGCCCTTATGGGCGAACTTATTAATCTGAAATACCTATATACGAAAAAATAGTCGGCATCGAAAATTTGTCTTTGAGGTTGATTTGAGAGCTCTGAGGGAAAATTTGTAATTTTATGGTTTACCTATATTGACATTAGTTTATAGAACATTGGAACAAATGCACTATACCCGCACTTGCGTGGGGTTTTCCAGCGCGAACCCATTATTTCATTTGTTGCTTCCACTTTTATGGATGGCGCTAAAAAGTTATTCGTCTGCCCTGAAAGTATACCATATTGATACTTATCGTTCTTTGTATACGTTGTCTAAGGGTTTTATCTCCGTGTGCCGAATATTAATAATCACTTTAGAAAAATTTTAACTTACAGTAATTTACTACCTCACGTGAGGGAGAATGATTTGTAGTGGGTGTATTTTTCTTTGCTTTGTAATTATGTGCGAATCCCGAATTTTCTATCGGATCGTATTTCCCACTATCCAAATGCCCATGGTATCGCGTTCCTCCGAATACCTCTAGTTTCATTTCCATGTGCTCGAAGGTGAATTAAAGATGAATGGGTACATATCAGAAATAGAGCGGATTGTTTAAGAATTTATTTCCGTAGATGAGAGTGGAAAGAGACCGAATTAACCGAATTTGACCAAATGAGATTGTTAACCATATCACTTAACCCATCCATTGCTCGGATTTTTCTGAGAAGAGCCATATTGATTTGAATTTCTGTGCACTGTAAGTAAAAAAAAATTGTCTCAGATCGACCGGGAAAAAATTTTCTTTTAGAATGTGGCCCGTAGAATCCATAATTTCAAACAGTTCCAAGATTGGGCTACTAGATCAAAAGTTACAGCCCTTTGAAATTTTTCTCGAATTTCGTTTTTTACCCCTAACTTATGATTGAGAAGTCTAATCGAAAAAGTACGAATCGTTTTGGATTCTACGCACCAAAATTAATACGAAAAAGTGTTTTCCCGAGAAATTTTGGTGTAGTCGATTTTTGGTAAAAAAGGAAGGTTATACACTGCCTTTTTTGAGTCCGGAAATTTCTCGAATTTCGTTTTTTACCCCTAACTTTTGATTGAGAAGTGTAATCGAATAAGTTCGAATCGTTTTGGATTCTACGCACCAAAAGTAATAAGAAAAAGTGTTTTCTCCAGAAATTTCGGTGCAGTCGATTTTTGGCAAAAAAGGAAGGTTATACACTGCCTTTTTTTAAGCCCCGGAAAAAAATTGTCTCAGATCGACCTGGAAAAAATTTTCTTATAGAATGTGGCCTGTAGAATCCATAATTTTAAACAGTTCCAAGATTGGGCCACTAGATCAAAAGTTACAGCCCTTTGAAATTTTTCTCGAATTTCGTTTTTTACCCCTAACTTTTGATTGAGAAGTCTAATCAAAAAAGTACGAATCGTTTTGGATTCTACGCACCAAAATTAATACGAAAAAGTGTTTTCCCGAGAAATTTTGGTGCAGTCGATTTTTGGTAAAAAAGGAAGGTTATACACTGCATTTTTTCGAGCCCCGAGAAAAAAATTGTCTCAGATCGACCCGGAAAAAAAAGTTCTTATAGAATGTGGCCCGTAGAATCCATAATTTCTAACAGTTCCAAGATTGGGCTACTAGATCAAAAGTTACAGCCCTTTGAAGTTTTTCTCGAATTTCGTTTTTTACCCCTAACTTTTGATTGAGAAGTCTAATCGAAAAAGTACGAATCGTTTTGGATTCTACACACCAAAATTAATAAGAAAAAGTGTTTTCCCGACAAATTTTGGTACAGTCGATTTTTGGTAAAAAAGGAAGGTAATTTGAGAAACTAAGCAGTCTTGATCACTCTCACAATTCTAAAGAATTATTAATCAAATTTTAATTATCACTTCACCATATGCTGTTCCTAGGTACGGACTAACACAAATACCAAACTGATAATGCCCCTGAAACTTCGTTTTCATTTTTTCCCTGGCTTAAATGATCGGAAATTGGGGATTCACGTTAGCACTGTTTTCGCAGAATCTGAATCTGTAATCAGAATTATAACACGCTAGATGCAGAAGCTTCAGGCTACTACTTTCTTATTTCTTATGGACGCCATATTTGAATTGAACCGTTGCGTGATATTTAATTACTCAATGCTTGTATGAAATGAGACAGCGGACAAAAAAGAAAATTATGACGTGTGGCACTCTATACTTTTACATAAATTTACAAGAAAAGTTTCAAAATCAAATGTTTTCTCAACAAAAACTCCACGGACACGGGTAACTAGATCTTGCTCAATGAACATGAATTTCTTTTTTGTCACATTGCGTCCATAAGAAATAAGAAAGTAGTACCCTGTAGCCAGGGCCGTAACCACCAGAGGGGGACAAGAGCGGACTTGGAACCCAGTTTACCCGCTCTCAAAAATTGCTTAATTTCAGGCAATATCGCGTGCTCATAAATGATCAAATATAAAGAAAGCTCGTTGGTATTCGGAATTATATCAACTATTAAAATTGAACAATTTCGCGTTTGTGTATAAATTATTTTCGGCAAAAAATTTACGTTAAGATATACAGGGTGTGCAACACAATACCAACTTTGGGTCAAATCTCAGAGACTGTGGTTTTTGACTACGTCACTGGATTCTAAATATCTAGAATGGGCAGTTTTTTACCTTTCTTCTATCTTACATGCATAATAAGATATGATAACATCCCAAAACGTCAAACTTTTCGTTAGCACTCTGTATCTCACAAACAAACAAAAAAGTGGCAGAGGGTCGCGAAAACCGTAGGTCTTTCAAAACAGCTATAGTCTCAACTAAAATAGGACCCAAGGTACATGGACTTTTTGAGATGTATCCTAGCGCTCCGTCGCTATAACAGTTCTTGCTCCCGGTTTCAGATACTTAATGTGAATTTAATAATAAAATGCAAAATGCTCAGAAATGTAAGTAAAAAGTTCTTAGCCTTGCTTTTGGGAATAAAATTGATCTACTTTTCGCCAATAGACTGCACGTAGAGGGTTATACCGTATATCTAGACAGCGCTTTTATTTTAAGAGAAAAAAAACCAAGTAGGTACAAACTTTACTGGGTTTATTATCACAAATAGTCAGAAAAGTAAAAAAAAACAAATGAATATCTCAAAATTTGGTAAATTTTTAATGGAACGCTTTGTGTGTTTTTCAAAAATAGTATGGATCTTTTTTTCTGATTTCAAAAATATAACATGGTGCAGTTTCTAAAACTAAAAAAATTGCATTATTAATGTTATTATTAATTATTATATTAGGAAATAACCTAGACCAAGTGTACTTTTTAATATTTATTTTTAATAAACAGGTTGTAACCAAAATTTACAAATATTGCATATGATTATTTTTTCTGTTATCCAATTTAAGCAAAGTATTGTTAATAAACTCAGAATGTTCGACTGAAGCAAATGTTATTTTTATTTTTTTATTTTACATTTTCGAAATCAGAAAGAAAAATCTATTCAATTTTTGAAAAATATACAGGGTGTTCCATTAAAAATTTACCAAATTTCCATTTTTTACTAATTCCAGTTTCTCTTAAAAACGAATTTGTATCAGTTATTTTACACATTATAAATTGTGGTTTTAATTAAGATATTTATGCGTTTCATCTGAAAATGAAAAATTAGGATGACTCATCCCAACGAAACACTCACAACGGCTCGTTGGTCTAGGGGTATGATTCTCGCTTTGGGTGCGAGAGGTCCCGGGTTCAAATCCCGGACGAGCCCTGTTTTTTTTGTGTAATTTGTTATTAATTAATTAATATTGTTAAACACGTTCGCCTTAAACTATACTTTCTCCAACTGGCTCGTTGGTCTAGGGGTATGATTTTCGCTTAGGGTGCGAGAGGTCCCGGGTTCAAATCCCGGACGAGCCCAGGTTTTTGGTGTTTTGGTAAGAAAAAATATGAAAAAACTAATTTGCGACCGTAGGTATAATTTATTTTAATATCCAAGAACTAAAACTTATGCTTTATGTATCGGAAAATGTCCACAGGAGCACCAATTTCTTTGAGAAAACCCTCAAAATTCCGTTCTCTATCAATTTTCATGGTGCCCAAGTCTGTTTTGTGGAAAATGTGTTTTTTACGTGCGCAATTATGCTGAAATGTTCGAAATTTAGACGTCTTGACCTTTACAATTTGCGGAATGCGCGCGTTATTATTAATAGCCGCGAATGCGTTACACCAAACGACAGAACTTGAAGGAATTTTTTCGTGTGTATTGTTAGATTTTATCGTTTCGTTTAATTTATTATTGGTTGACCGTGTTTACGAAACGACGAACAGATTGTATCTCGCGTACGAACTCTATATTGGATTTTACAAGTGTAAAAGTAAATCTGTGGCCTCAATCTCGTTAACCGGTCCAATCACTGGGCATAATATAAGAAAATATTTCTTCTTCTTGTTGTATATTGCTCGACGGCGGTAAGAATTACAATTAAACGAAAAATATCGGTGATGATTTATGAATAATGAAGGCCGAGTAGGTACGAGTACGATCGAATCTTATAGGTATATGTTGAATTTCATGTTTTGGGCTTGAGGCTTTTTTTATTTGGAACATTCCTTCTAACAGAAACTCAGCGTACAAAGTGAAAAGAAGGAAACTTACCTAGGAATAGCAAATTCAAATTTGACATTTCGGGTGTAGACAGTTTAAATTGCATTTTATTTCATGTAATAACTAATAATAATAGTATTACTAATTAAGTAATTTTATTACCCAACAGTTAACAACAAATGGACAAACACAAGAGTAATTAAAAAATAAGAACTTAAATCAATCCCCTTTGTTTGCTACTGTTGCATACGCACCGGAATAACTTGGCACTAAATGTAAACAATTGGCGCGTTTAATTGATTTGTCCTTCACTGACTATGGTAATTATTTTTTAGGCGACGAACTGCTCAAGTATTTTATCGCCCCTGCTTTACACAATAAACCATTTCACAGAGTTCTGTAGCTTAAAGTTAATATTTCAGATTTAAAGTTAATGATAAATGAGCCCCAAGACGAGTAGAGTAGCGTACAAAAATAAGGTAATAATTTTGTCTTTAAAATTATTCGTTAGTCCGCTTGATCTAAATAATCAACTGAAGCAAGCAAGCGTTGAACTTGAAGAAACTTAATTTAATTAACGAGAAACTAGCTGCAACACTTTTAAATGCGAAATGTAATTAGCTTCTCCCTGCGCAGCTACACCAGTAAGCAACAAAAACACATCTTGCTCACTATTGTTATTGCTTTTATTTCATTAATTTTCAGCGGGGGTGTTTCCTCTTGTTTATGTTTCCGCCCTGAAATAAACAACATGCGGGAACTTCCTACGGTGTACGGACTAGTAGTGTTTCTAAACGTCATAGCGTAGTACCCATGACCTGTTAAAAGTGTGGAATGGATGAAAACTAAAAGTGCCAAGCTTTTAAAATACCCCGGGGATGTTTAACTAATGCATTATTTATAATGCGCGTGTTTCCATTCAAATGACCCGTTTCGATTGTAGTTTCCAATGGGGCGCATTTATACAACTCGATCGTTGATTGAGGAAAATTAAACAGCATGAACACCATACGCCCGGGAGCCAATTTGCGCATTGATTACAAAATATTTGGGCCGTAAGCGTTTCGGTCGAAATTGCATTGCGGCGATTTTTTACATTCGAAACACGAAAACCGACATCCTATCGAGATAGACTTTTGAAATATTAACAAAACTGCGCGGTTATCACGGAAACTCGCGGTACGAATAAAAGGCACATTGGAATAAAGGGGGCGACAAGAAACACATTTCTCGTTTGATTAATTTTTTTCATCCTAACGAACATTTTGACTAGAGCTACATGTGAAGTGCTCTGGTTCTTCGAGTGTCTAAATATTAAAAGAAGGTCTAATTGTGTTGTTTTTTTTTGTTGCAGAGAGCGAATCTGGATCGGGAATTGAAGTTAATCCCAACATTCCCTACCCCGGCATCGCACCGATCGCTTTGGGTTATTTATCTCAAACTACAAGACCGCGCAGCTGGTGCCTCGCGCTCATCTCTAATCCATATCCTTTACATGCTAATTACAATTTTACTGGATGCAGGATTAAGGTAGGATTATTTCAATTTGTTCTTTGTATTGTTCCACGAAGGCGCACAAATTCAACGTTTCCATAACCAAAAGGCGCCTAGTTAAAAATTTCGCGCTTATTGATCTTTTTTTTAAAAGACTCCATGTGACGAGACTTGATCTGAAAGAAGGTTTTATCCGAGCTTTGTACGGCGTTAGGTAATTTTCCACGTATTCCCAAGACGTGCATCTAACAAGATTTTTCGAGAGCTTTTTTAGTCGTCCCAAATTACATTTTTGACAGATGATTCGCGAGTGAACGCAAATTTCAATTTTAATTGTTAATTAATTAAGTACTACGAAACGCCGTAAAATGGGTTTATTACTATTCCTTTCGCTTTGTTTAAATTTATTTAATTTCGCTTTCGACGCGTTGGTAATTCGTCATTGCCACAATTTAATTAATTTGATTCCACGTGACAAATTGTTACGTTTTGTTTATCCGTTATACAGTTTTTATGAAAAACATTAGACTTTCAGTGGAAAATTTCTAATGCAGAAACTTATATAAATGAAAACCGTAAAGGCCTATGAGCATCGACGTTAAAGTTTTAACGATGCAACACAGAATAAACACATAAAAGTGTATACGTTTTTCGCTGCTATTTTCAGCAAGCAACTAAATAATAAATTATTAAAACCGGCGCATTTGCTTATATTATTTGCCGTGAGCATTAAACTTCCCCCAGATTTTGAGAATCTGATGAATCGAGTTCTTCCTTTCTGCTTTTAGTATTTATTTAGACATTGTGCCAAAAATTTAATTGGGCGAGTTTCATTGATGATTAAAGATGGACCAATTGAGAATTGCCCTATATTACATGAAATAATATTTTTTTGAGTTTTCTGCCACTTGGCAAGCTCTTAGGTGACATCCTTCCTCCTCAACTACTGACCTCTTTCTGCATCCCCACATAGCCGGTTCTCTTCTTCAGATCATAAATCCATTCCTTTTTTCTTCTTCCTCGCTTCCCTCCATCTTCCGTCTCCACCAATCGTTAAAATACGTCTCTCATCATTCCATTGATCCTCAACACGTGGCTCACCCAGTTTCTCTTTCTCTTTGTAATATTGTTTAACCGTTGTCTTTCTTCCCCCGCTCCTCTTATTTTTACTTTTAACAATCTCCTCCTCCAAGTCCACATCTCGAATCTCGAATGATGAATGTATTTTGTCACTTATAATTCCTTTTTTCTTTTCAATCATTTCAAATGTTATCCATGGCTTCTTTGCTCTTTTCCTCTATCCCACCTCCTTCTCAGCCACTTTGATTATCGCATTCTTCATGCTTTTGCATTTGTTTTTTTGTAGTTTCCTGACTCTTCATTGCTTTTTTATCCATCTCCCTTAATCCCATTCCTTTAATCTTTTTGCCATTTTGTCTAACTGCCGCGGGGGATTTTTTTAAATTAAAACCTTGTTGCTGGTTTTTGGTTGACAAATGAGCTCTCTTTTGTTATTTCGGTGCAAATTGCAATCAGAAAACTGCATCAACAAAATAAAACCAAATGACTAGTTCAATCGCTTCTCTCTTTACCTATTTCTTTACGGTGGTTTGCTTAACGGATCTCCCTTAGCTGAAATAATTACGTCAAAAAAGGGGGTCTACGAACTTATACTGTCCAATGCAATGACAACAACAGAAATGGTTAACTTTCGATATTTATTGATAAAAATAGATACGGAAAATATTCGGACATTTAGATATGCATTTCGTTATAGTTATGGAAATTTCTTATGGAAATGGTTAAACATATTTCTACTTAGCACAGAACATGAGTAATTACTTTCTAGGTAGAGGTGGCCATCTCTTACTTAAATTTAAATCGGTCAATAATTTTTACTAATATTGTCAATAACGGGTACTTCAAATGCAACTTACGTTAACACCATAAATAGTGGAAACCCACTGAGTTCGTTTAATCTGAGGTTTAATTGTAATTAGCTTAGATTCCATGAAAGATACAAGGTCTGACAAGACTGGTCACAAAATTGATTTTTTCAAATGGAACAGAATTTTTTCAAATCCATTTTCGAATTCTGTTTCAAATTCTACACCTAATAAAAATACGAAAATGGATTTTAAACAATTCTGTTCTATTTAAAAAATTAACTTTGGTATCAAAATCTACTTTTTGAAGTAGCACCCTGTATATTATCTCTTTAGTGCAAAAAATCGCAAAATAAAATTATGATAAGACGTGTGTGAGCATTTATTTACCCAACATCTGATTTTTACCATATTTTTGCCGCTCATTGTGTATATTTTGTTCATTATTATGCGTATTAATTTTTAATTTAAAGACGTGGTTTATTAAGTGTACTAGAAAAACTTTCGTATCTCACCGTTTTCTACTTTAATTTTTTCTGCTCCTTAGACTTTTTCACGCTTGCCGTGGAGCTATATTTTGAACTACGCAGTTGACGCTCCCGGATACGGAAGCGCTGAAGGACCACGAAGTGATATTTTTTATTCAACACGACCGGCCCACTTCGAACTCGACCTGCCGACTTTCAACTCGGTCGGTGGACTTTAAGCTCGACCGGCCGAGTTGAAGCGTTGTCAGCTTTATTTAGAGAAGTGGTTTCCAAACTCATTTCCATGGCGCCCCCTTTATTAAAAGTAAATTTGCTCACGCCCCCTATTAAAAAAAGCTGCTGTTACTACAAACGTATTATTAAAAAATTACAGCGTGAGTTTTTTTAAATTTTCACTATTAAATGGACAAAGTTATGCAGAATTTGATGGTGATTTTTCCTTTCAAAATTTCTTGTAGGTCTACAAATAGCGAAGTTATGGCCAAAAAAAACCGAAAAATGTCATCTAAAATGGGCTGGCGTTCATTTATTTTCAAAGATCAAAGAATTATTTTAACAATACCTTGGTGAATTTTTCTCAACTTTCTGACGGTGCCAAAAAAATGATATGACCAATAAAATATTATGTTTTTCAATCAAGTCGGATATTGCAGCCATCACATCAATGGCTTTTGAGGTCGATTTTAGTTCATTCGAGATGTCTTCTTTTATAGCACCATCATAAATCGCACATACACTATCATTTGGAAACATTGTGCAACATCGGTGCTTTCATCAGCATAAAAAGTCGAATTTTATCGAGTACCTTCTTATTTCTGTAAGAATTCGTCAAATACCATTTTCCATAAAAATACCTAATGTAAGTATTGTAAAGGTATCTATTTGCCTCGCACACATCAGGGATAACGCGCCCCCAGTTTGAGAAACACTGATTATTTATTTTAGAGTGTACATTAGAGCATTGTTTCTCAAACTTTTTTGTCTGGTGGGCCACTAAAATTATTAAACAAAATTCGCGGCGCCCTATTATTTTTTGCCTTTTTTGCAATTAGTAACCATTGTCATAATATATTCCAGAGGTCATTTTATATCGTACTCTGTATGACATTTGAAATAGGAATGACAGATGTCATTAGAATGCACAATCGTCTGTTTCACTTTATCTATCCTAGTGGTTAAAGTGATCACTTTATCTACCCTCCCGGTTAAAGAGCGATTTAGCCTACTCATTGAAACGTACTTATTAAAATGTCATTTTAACATATGCTATAAAATAAATAAAATGAATTTAAGATTATTGTTAATAATACGTATTAGCATTGAATTTATAGTTATAAATTCAATGGTATTAGCTTGCCGCTTTACAAGTGCTATTTACAATTTAACAGCAGCGTGTAGTGCAACTGCAACGCCGCCGCCCTTCGGTTAACCATAGAAATAAATAAAATAGAAACATAAAAAAAAACAGAATTGCAATTAAAAAAACTAATATTAGTAATATTCATTTTTTATAATTGGTTTAATTTTTTTTTATTTAAGTAATTTTAACTTAATTATGTATTCCAAAATTTTACGGCACCCAGTTTGAGAACCACTGCATTAGTGTGAGTTTTTAGTGTAAAAATTAAAATATTTGGTAGAAGCCGAGGAGTTTAAACTCGGTCAGTCGAATTCAAAGTCCTCCCAGTTGCAAGTCGGCCGGCCGAGTTCAAACGGCCGGCCGTGTTGAATAGAAAATATCACCTCGTGGTCCTTCAGCACTTCCGTACTGATTAGTTAACGCGGCCATCTTTAACAGAAAGCTTTTAGTGCAGTCTCTAGCTATTGTAATAGCCGAGATCTGAGCCGGACCGCCAGCCTGCTTCCAGCCATAACGAAAATAATAGGCTATTTTTTTTCCAAAAAATGCGCTAAAAACGCCAATCCTAAATAAATTCGAACAAATCAACCCCATTAAAAGGATCTCACCAGAATGATCTTACGCGATTTAAGGAAAATGTTCTTAAAACTCAGTTTTTGGTGTAAATATTAAAGAAAAACTGAGATTATGACATTTCATTGAAGATCCAGCTCTAAATGCGCTGTCTTTAATCTAAATTAGTCAATCTGAATTAAAAATCGCCCAAGGTTCTGCTTATTTTTGAGAAACGCACGTAGGCGGATGGGATCACAAAATATTTTGATTTTTAAGATACTAATGACCTACATCATTATATGTATATGAAGTCTTTTCTCATGTAGCATAGGCAATATCTTCGTGTATAACCAAAAGTCAAGCAAATGGCGTAGAGATAAATAAGGTCATTGCGATTGCAAATTGGAAAGGCTTTGTTCAAACGTTCTGAGTTCTGTTTCTTCGGGTTGCTTTTGAGGCTGCACTTACTAATCGTTGGCAGAGAATTTCGAGTCGACTGACGAATGGCGCCCTAGACAAAGCGAAAACCACGTAGTGCTTTAGAGCAAGCACTAAGGATACTCGAGATAATAGCTTTGCGTGCCAATCTCAAGGAAATTGATACGAGCTTTTCCCGAGCGGTTTCAGAAAATTGTAGTAATTATTTAAATTGCGCCAATGAAATGAAAAAGAAAAGCTTTTTTATGTAATTGATGTTTCCG